TTTCACATACTATTTAATGTAAAGTTATAATCAATTAGTGTTAGTAGTGAATAATTTAGTTTAAAATTATTATTACACTTTATTAATGTAAAATGTAACGGTTCTACATTAATTGAAAAAATGAGCGGGAAAATAAAATGTAACGGTTCTACATTAATTGAAAAAATGGGCGGAAAAATGAATAGAGGTTTTATTAATTAGGCTTTAATAAATGTTGTATATATGCCAGCAATTATATAGGAAAATGCTACATGTACATAATAAATGTACATAGAGGTGTACATAACTGTCACATGGTGTGGGGTCCACTTGATTTTTTATTTTTTGTGGGTCCCACATAATGTGAGTATTATGTACACCCTTATGTACACCATTATTATGTACTTGTAGCATTACTCTTACCCACAATGAGTCTCTTTTTGCATATGTGGCAAATAAATAGACTTAAGTCCATAATGACATGGACAAACTCAAGCTAAAAAATCCAAAATATATCCAATACAAAATAAAAATGTACAAGGTCTAGAATACTAAACAACCAATAAAAATAGGGAAAAAAACTTTTTGCCATCTGAACTATCACGATTTTGGCGCTTTACCATACAAACTATTTTTTTTGGCAAACCACCATCTGAACTACACGGGATTGTCAAATTGCCTCCTATACCAGGTTTAAGCCCGGTTTCGCATCATTAAAACCAGCTTTCGAGGGTATTTTAGATATTTTATATGTTAAAAAATTAAAAAAAAAACAACCTAAATATCAAAAAGAAAAAAAAAAAATCAAATGTGTTAAACTCTTGCAGACTTCCTTCTGATGCATCATTACAATCTGTTACAATCTGCAGAATTTGAATCTTATGTTCTCATAAAATTTCTTTGAGGCCTTCACCAGGAATTTAGACAGCCATGGGAACATGTATCGATTTGTGAGAAATCCAAATGAATCAAGAACACCTGCACCCTTCTCTGTATGCCCGGCCTCCTGCACTCCGGTGTCCTCAAGAATTCAGATTTCGGGCCCGACGAGAAATACCTCCAGCACAGATTGTTCGGTTGAACGAATCCATCACCGCCGTCGCGTCGTCGAGCCAATATTGGGGAAATCGAAGATGAAAAGTCGATGTTCGCGTCAATGGCAGGGGGTCTTGTCGGAGTGTTGCGGCTTGTAGTTGTGCTGGAGGAGGGCTCAGATTGGGATGAGGGCGGCGACACCTAGGGTTTTAGGTTGTGCTGGAAGGCTCGGATGTGGCGGCGGCTAGGGTTTTCATTGACCTCCTAAGGAGTTTTTTAGGGAGGAGGTGCGGCGGTGAGGGTTTGTCAATGGTGTTGACGGGACAAATTCAAGAGGCATGATTTTATTTTTTTTTCTTAAATTTTAAAAATGAAAATGCATAAAAAATAGGTTAATAGGTGATAATTTGACAAACAATAGGGGTTTATTTGTTATATTTGAATAGTCTATAAATTATGTTTTGGTCCTTTGGGTACTTTTGTAATATTTTAAAAATCTGCAATTCCCAAAATGTCCTTGTAAATCAGCTTTTTTTCTACAAAACAACTTTAAATACGGTTTTGGAGGGCAAAGTGAAAAAAGCTGGTAGTTAATATGGTGGTTTGCCAAAAAAAATAGTTTGTATGGTAAAGCGCCAAAATCGTGATAGTTCAGATGGGAAAAAGTTTTTTTCCCATAAAAATATAATAATAATAAATGCATACAAAAAAATGTGTTTTGCCTATTAAAAAGAAAAAAAAAAATTGTGAACAATTAATGACTAGGTGGGTTTGCACTTGGGTCCAAAATAGACCCAAGTGTGGACTTAGTCTTTTTTTTTCTAGTGCCACATAAGTTAGACTATGTCCACTTTTAATTGCATTGCGAAATATTTTTTATAGACTAGGTCTATTTCCTACGTGACATGTGATTTTTTTCTAAGAGACCCAAAGCATTATATAGATATATTGCTGCGGTCACATGCAAAAATGTGGCTGAAAGAGAACAATGCGTTTCCACATTATTTCTAATGTTTATTTCCGTAAGAATATTTTCTTTATGGTTTAATGTACTTTCTAAAAATTTTACATGCATATTTCATAAAATTTCTGAATGCTTAATATATGCATTCCTATTATCAACAACTACAACCATTTATTCCCTTGATATTAAAACTGTTGCATCTATCTAATTATAATCAGAAATTATTTGTCAACTTCAATACATACAAGTTTTTCATTATAAACTGCGTTACTGCTTAAACTTGAGATCATTTAATGTAAGATGATAGTATTTGATAAATTGGAAAAAAAATAAAAAAAAATAGCACTACTACTGCAACCGCTAAACTAAACCAAACATAAATCTTTATCATTATTGACAAAACTCAAAAGTGCCAGTGGGGCCAGCCATGCGGGGCCCACGGGTACTCGCCGGCAGGCCTTGGCGGGGCAACGTACTCCCAGTGTGGCCACGGCCGGTTGGGGTGTTGGGCTCAGATGCGCAATGCGGAAGATGTAAATTAAAATATCAAGGTAAAATGGTGAACAATAATCTCAATCCCAGCAACTCAAGAATGACAAAGAAAATCTCTTGCAATAATACCGGAATAATTCTTTTCTGATGTGGAAGTTCAGATTAAACTGCGACCACAGAGCATACTAAGAATATCCCAAATAAATAAAATATGCAAGAAATAAAACACCAAGATTTAACGTGGAAAACCTCCAAATAGAGGAAAAAACCACGTGACAACCTCCGAACAATTCCACTATATTTTGAAGATAATTACAATATCTTTTCACACTCTCTTACACTAGAAATGTAAAATATAGTGACCCAGTGAGACCCCACTCTTAAACAAGGAGTAATAGAGTTGATACCCAACCCGGTGTATTTTTCCCACACTCACAGGATTTACTCAAACACTCTATTTTTGTCTCATTGAAAAATAACACTCCAGAAAATTTCCTTTCTGATCTTTTTCTTTCTCGCTTCTTGGTGCGTCTTCCCCTCTGCCGAATGCCTTCAATTTATAGTGGAGATGGCAATTGAAACCTTCACCATATACCTCTCTTTTTTTCTTCTGTCATGTGGACAGCTCACAAGATTCGCTCTTTTTTTTTATTTTGTTTGTTTGTGGTTTGGCTGGATATGACATGGGGGGCCACTCGAAGCCTGGGCGTGTGAGGTTGGGCGAGTGGAAGAAAGGGAAAGGGTGGGGGTGGATGCCCCAGAACCAGTCCAGTCCAGCTGCTTCTGGGGGAAGCGACAGTCGATTGTCGGACATTTAATGCGGTTGTCGGATGGACCTCGGTCCATCATGACCTCGGTTCCTCGCTCAGGTCGTCCAACAGCTCGTGGTTGAAGTAGGCTTTTTCGGCTGTTTCGTCCAGGTCGTCCGGAGTTGCTCGATTTAACCCTTACTTAATCTTCCACGTGGCACATCCTAGCTAATGGGACGATCCGAGTCGGACATCAACATATGTAATTTACAAAAATTATATAAAAACACATTATAATATTTTTGTATACATATATATTTAGTGTATTTAAAAGAATATCGTGGCTGGCTATCAAAAAAAAAAAGAATATAAGAATAAATAAAAACATCAAATTTATTATTAACATATTTCTCCCGAGGGTGTCTTCCTTTTGATTTGAACTTGGCAAGACATAGAGCAGCAAGTAGCGTGTGCCGGGTCAATACCAACCGGCGTGCAGTCGAGTAGGACGAGACTCTCTTGGTGATCATTGAGAGACTCCACGTCCCCGAAGTCTCGCATGTGAGAGAAAGGCAAGTCCTCCAACTCCAACTCCTTAAACTGCCTAGTCCATGGGTCATATGCAGATAAGAAACTACAGAAACCGCAGTGCTGCCACTTGTCCATGACCAACTCCCCATTCTTCAAAACACACACAAACATAGTCGGCAGGCTGCCATGTGGTTCCTCGACCCTGAACAACTTATTCCAGCCGCCGGTGGCTATCTGCACCCAAACGGTCCAAGAGTTTGAGGCCAGTCCCACAAACAACGAGTCCCCCAGTACAGCAACCCGGGGACGGGGAATAGCAATCATGGCAGGATCCTCTATCGGTAAGGCCACCTCTTCAAAAACCTCTTCCGCCACGTCGAACGAGTAAAGGCTGTAGCTGTTATAAGGTCCCCTCTCAAAATGTTTACAAAGGAGCCAGTGCATCTTGCCTCCCACGAAAGCGTGCGTGCTAATAAACGATATTCCGCGCTCGGGGCACTGGTGCACAAGGAAATTACCTCTGCGCCACGCGTTTGAGTTCAAGGAAAAGACGTGGAACTCTGGGACATTAATGCCGGATGCAAGGACCACGATTTTGTAGTTGTCTGTGGTGGGGTCGTATCCAAACTCGATGGACGTGTCATTTGGTTTCGTCAAGGTGAGGTCCGGTAGGCAGGCGTGCCTCCTGATGGTAGGGTTCCATAGCATGATGGATATGACGGGTTGCTCCTCTGGGACACCCGTTTGGGACACTAATACGCATATCAAGCCGTTGATGGAGCCCACTATGTGGGGAGAGGTCCAGTCCAGGCATCCAAAAGGGAAATCGAGAAGCCCCAACCAGGAAGGATCGGCAGGGCGATGCTGATCATTGTCAAGCAAAATGTACCACTCTTGATCAGCATAGTCTCTTGCGGTGAGCAAGATTTTGGAGGAGTGACGGTTTGTGGAGAGGTGCAAGGACCTGAATTCAGGACTGGCTATGATCGACTTCCATGATCTGCATACGGTCCGAAGACGGAGCAAAGCTTTTACGGGCAATCTCGCCAGGATTTTAAATAACAGACCTTCACTCAGGTAAGGAGAGGCCTCCGCCTCCATAACTTTTATTAATTCTTTTTTTGTGTTTCTGGCAATTAATATGTGGCCTTTGTTATATAGAAGAGATCGATGTATACCGTATAGGAAAATATTATTCCTAGTCGGAATAGGATTTTTATTTTATTTTATTTTTTTCTACACTTAATCCTCATAATAAAGTTAGTGGAACTATAACTCTGGTATATATAAGTGTGAGTCTGAGTATGTTAAGAAAAGTGTGGCGCTCTTATTCCCAGTTGCTTGAGAACTATAACTCTGGTATATTTCTTAACATTGGACTCCTGATTGATAGGTTCAACTATGTAGCAGAACTTGGTATTTTATACGTTTCTTTTTATATTGGACTCTATTCTGATATTGTTTTATATTGGACTCTTGATTGATAAGGTGAAAGTATGGTTACCACCATGGTTCTGAAAATCGAACCGGTGAAGCTACTGATTCAATAGTTCATTGGTCAGATCAGCGGTCTAACCGTTTTAATTAATATATAATTTTTATTTATTTTATATGTATGATATATAATTATATATATATATATATATTATTATTATTAATTTTATAGTATATGACATTATTCTTTAAATAAGAGTTCAATAATATATATAACCGACAATGTTGAATAATGTTGTTAACTTTTTTTCTTATTTTAGTTTTATATTTAAAATTTTAAAATATACTTAATTTACAAAATAAAGA